AAAAAAAAAAAAAATTTCATTTTTTAAAGAAAAAAAAGAAATTAAATGAGGCAACTTGTTATCAAGTACTCAACTGTAACACTTAAGGTGGTGTTTACAGAGAGAGCTGCTTTTGGGAGGTGGAGAAGAGTCTACAATTCGCAGGCGCAATCTACAGTATGTATATTGGCTATCCATTACGGTCTTGAAAGTATTAATGTGTTCCATATAGTATGAATGTTACATCATGCATGAGGAATTGAAATTCTTATTATTGTTTGTCAGGACAAAAGCTGGAATGACCTCTGCAGCTGACAGCATCACAGAGAGCCTTAGGCGTTCTCGGCAGCTCATGGTTCAGGTCATTATTAATATTTTTCTTTCCAAGGCATTTTAGGTTATCTTTTGTGGTGTGTGATCCAGTCTTTTCTTGGCTTTTTATTAATAGGAGGTTGAAAGGAGTGCAAGCACACTGATGACATTTGGTAAGTTCATTTATTACTAATAAAAGGCATACTGCTCATCCATTTTTTTTTAAATAATTTTAAGTCTAAACCTTATTGTAAGAAATTCTTATGGTACTTAGCGTGTGGCCCCATGGACATGTTCTTTCCTAAGAATGATTTTTGGTATTCCCCACTGACCAGACACAAGCACTAGCAGTAAAAGGGAGATCACTTTAAGTTAGTTTCTTAAATATTTCTTGACGCTCTACCCCATGCCCAACAAAAAACAAAAGGAAAGAAAGACGTGTTGTACTATGTTATCATAATAGAGACAGTATTTATAACCAGTTTAGTGAAATTGCAAAGCATTGATCCTTCAGCAACGTAGACAAAAAGCAAGAGAGCCTATTATTCAGATGCCAATGCTGAGGTGGCAATACACTATCCTGATTTCTTGCCAGATACTTTGGATTGGACGTGGCTACTCTTACATTATCCCTGAAAAATGATGGAAAACTTATTATTCCTAGATGATTCCAGGATGTAGATGTCCTAACCCTTAATCATACAATAAGCATTCTTTGAATTCTGATGTAACCACAAAGGCTAGACTGTTTTATTTGCGAGGCAACTAACAAGTGCATTACGATTGTTACTGTATAAATATATTAATGATAAACATGAGAGGAGAAGTTGAGTTTCAGCAAAAAGACTATCCAAATTATTTAGCTGGAGCAAGGTACCTGTAATTTTGTGCAGTGGTCAAACCTGTTCAATTTGATTGAACTTGCTAATTTTTAAAAAAGAGAGAGGATTACATTCCCTTGTACATCTCATTTTCATTTTACAACTTTTTAATGAATCAAACTCCTGAAATAGTTGCTTTTCAACTTTGTTCTTATGCTTATCCACCTCTGTACTATATCATTTTTCCTTTTCCTGAAATGTACAAGGAATTTCATCATTGAATTTAAGGGCTCCTGCAGCAGGTGAATAGAATTTGAAAATCTTCTCTTACTCTCTACTTTTTAGAGCCATTTATTGTGTCAGCAAAATAGGTTCTATTCTGTGATAGAAAGTCTTGGAATTTTAATGAGCCGCCCCAAGTATGGGAGCTGAGTGCTACAGTGTTCGTGGGAACCATTTCTTGGTTCTGACTTCGCTTGGTGATGTTGTAGTGCATGGAGCTCTAGCACAGATATACGAATTGTTTGATGCTCCAGTTCCAACATAGGTATGGGAATAGTAGTGTAATGTAGAGGTGTCAAAGATGCAGGTGGCCTGGTGGCACGGCACGACAAAAGCCTGGCCTGCTCCCCTTCCTAGTGCTGTACCCGGCTGAAGGCCGTGGGTGACGTGGGTCCTGTCTCTGCCACCTCAAAACCATGCCATGCCAGACGATTTGTTACCTCTATTGTAATGATATCTGCAAGCATAGTTGTATGAGTAGAGTGCATTTACTAATTGTGGCTTGAGTTGACCATAAAAGAGGAAGGGGAAATCAGGCAGTCTATAACTTGGTGTAGTTCATGCATGCCTTCCATTTATGTTCTTTTAAACACCCATTGTTCCATGGTGGGGTTATGTGGCTACACTGACACTTACGCACTCTATATGATCCATTAACTTTTCTGCGTGGTCTGCTATAGTCCTGCATTCTTTCGCTTTGCTTCTCTCATTTGGGAACTGTTATCATGCCTCGAAGGCACATATATTACTCTAGATAGATTTTGTGATTTAGGAACGCTATTTTCTGCTTTGAACGCTGTAGGTCTTTAACAAATGTCAAAAAATTGGCAATTAATATATCTAGACAACAATGTATGAATTTCTGAATGTTGCAGAGGAGTCAACTGGAGTTTTAAGGAAGGCTGAAAGTGAGTACAAGGGCCACCGTTCGTTACTGATGCGGACCCGAGACCTTCTCTCCACAATGCAACGTCAAGATGTTCTTGACAGGTATTAGGCATAATGATTTCTAAAATTAAATAATCTACCACATCTATTGGCAAGCCTAAGGATTTTTTTGGGCAGGTTGATAATTATTGTTGGATTTCTTATTTTCTCGTTGGCCGTCCTTTATGTTGTTTCAAAGCGCATTGGGATACTCAAGTTGCAGAATAAGATTATGGATGCTGTGAAAGCTGGAATGGCAGGACAAGAAGGTATCGTCGTACCTATAGCTGGCCGAGATGGTATTTGTGTTGCTCCAGTTCATGAGAATGTAGTTCCTCGTATGGATGTAACATTAGAACAACCTATGCACGACGAACTTTGAATCTCCAGTTTCATGTACCATTAAGCACCTGAAACTTCAACATTCCAAGGTATTTTAGAGTTGTGCTTTCTATTTTGCACTTAGTGGCTGGTTTGTAGTACAGAGGGTATAAAGTTGTCTACAACATAGAGAATAGTGAACTGGTGATATCAAATTCAAAATATTCTACTTGTCAAAAGTTTTAATTGAGAGGGGATTAATTTATTTCTTCTAAATTTTGCCTTGCTCACATGCATACGTTAATAAATTTAATAAGTAGATGGGAACTAGATTCGAATCTAGAATCCTTGTGCAATCTAAAACTATGTTGAATCTTTGCATAACAGTTTAAGAGGTTGGAAAGGAGAAAAAAATATTTATTTTAAATTTGTCTTCAACGTAAATTAACATGGAATTTTCATGGATAGCTGGGAAAATCCTCCAGATACCCTGGCCATAGTTTTGATGGATTATCAATGCATCAAAATCAAATGTAACCCGTCGGTTTGACCCAAGGAACTGGTGTAGTTATATGTAAAAATCCACAAAAATAAGAAACTGTCAAACACGAGTAAAAGACTGGTCGATTCATCTGAAAGTTTATTTATTTATTTTTAACATTTGCTTCTCACTAACCCTTTTGTTCACAAATAAAACATTTTCCCTTTGGTTTCTTATGGTGACACATCGCAAGCAAGGCAACCCCTTTTTTTTGCCTTCAGAATAGATTCAGCACCCAAGGAGTTTCTTCATTAATTTCCTCAGATACATGTTTATTTTGTGTAGATAATAATCAACTTTGAACTGTAAGAACATTTTAGGAAGGTTCCAAAAATCATGTCATCTTGAGTCTCGGAATCAATGTTAGCTCCTAAAACATCAACAACGTTGTAGTGACCAATTATTGCTAACATATGGTTTCTCACAGATGTGCTTGTTTTCATGTGTGTGTTCATAATTGTCCTAATGGAAGTTTGTCGAGTTTGATAACCAAACACGGAGACTTTCCATTATGTCAAAAGTAGTTTCTATATTTAGATAGTTCAATTGCAACATATTTGACATGGATGTCAAAGTAGAGCAACGGACGATCTCTTTTGAATGACACTACTTTTCATATGAAGTCTTATAAGATTCCATGAAATCACTCGGAACAAATTTCAGTCAACATGAACTTTTGTTTTTCAGCGGTAAGAACAATGTTAAGATCCATTTTTAGGTTAACGTAGTTTTCTCCCACTAAGTGATTTTTATTATGTATCACTGATAATGGATTAAGAGACATTTTCAGTAAAACTAATGATTCACACATCAATAAAATAAACAATAATATTTGTATAATGCATGTACGCATGTATGCAAAACATAGACCCAAAACTATATTTTTAATCAAAGACATATAACCCTCACAACCTTTAACATGCCCTTTTTAGAATGTCAATGTAGTTGCTGGTTAGGTTGGGACACTCCCACTTATTTTATTGAGTTACGCATCTCATGCCACAATTAAAATAAGGATTGATTATTATTTGACCTATAAATAATTTTGTCAAAATCTTCTATAGGAAGTCCTTCAAGATTTTCATATATAAGTGTATTAATCTTTATTAATGATTTTAAAATATTCGAAATAGATGAGATGTAATCTATAGGATAATCACTCCATTATTTCATAAAATTTGTTATACTTAGATCCAATTTTAGTTAATCCAAAATAAAATCGTCCTCCTTTAGGGAGATCGATATAATTCGATATTGAACAAGTACGCATTGTATATCAAAGGAGGTTGTAGATTTATACATGCCTATAAACCATCTCCCACTTACTATTTTAAACCGTTGGGGTTTTCATTTAATAATTAATCGACCAAATATAAATAATTATAATAGCACCAAATCATTAAATATAGTTTTTCAATCACTTCTAATTAATTTAGAGTGAGGAAAAACTATATAATACCAATGCACACGAATTTATTTTACCGGGTTGTGTTTTATTTAATAACAAAGCCATTTGTACAAAAATATATTTCATAGAGTGGGCCCCATGCGGGACCCATGGTAATAAAAAGTTGCCAAATAAAACCCCACACTCCCCCCTATTGTGAGGTATCGGTGGGGGTACAGAACCCCCACCCTGTACCCACAGCATAATCGTTTATTTAATTTACATGACATGTAATAATATTCATTCATTAAGTAATAAAATCAATAAATAAATAAATTATAATTACTTATGGCCCGTCTTAAGAATCTAAATTACAACAAGAATTAAAGTAGTCAATTGGCTCACATTCCGACCCAATTTTTTAATTTTTTTGTAGTGCAATACATGAAATGTCCAAAATGTAGGCCAATCTAACTTTTAAGTGGGAAAAAAAAAATAAAAAAAAATCATATATCAGGCTTTAAATTTCACAAATGCAAAAATCAGGTATTTATTTATTAATTAAAAATATTTTTATTAATTAAATATAATAATATATAATTAATGGTCACATATACATAATTATAGGTCACAACTTTTATTGGTCACATATTATCAAATTAATTGGTCACAAATTATTTCAATATCACAAATCAAAAATTTTACAGGTCATAGTTTATTTCGTTGGTTACAGATCAAAAAATTTATAGGTCACAGTTTATCTATCGGTCACATATTTTCAAATTTTTTTTATCACAAATTATCAAATTTTAAAGGTTGGTCACAGAGAACCAAATAGTTGGTCACATACACAAAAAATCAGCCCCCGATCCCGATCCACCACCAATATTTGGTCACAAATCAATCAAATAGTTGTCACAAACACCCTTCATCCCGTCGCCACCACCACCACCACCACCACCACCACATCACCAATATCACCACCATCATCAAACCAGATCTGAACCTACCA